GATCATGCTAAGCATAGAAGGAAAGGAACACTCTTACGAGCATTTGCAATTTAAAAGTGATTTATTATTATTATTTATACAGTCAATTGCTCCACATCACTTAGATTGTAAACAGAATTTTTTATTTTTTATTAAATTTATTTACTTACATTCATTCACTGTGCATCATTACAGTATACGCAGTGAGATTTTCCACCCGGAGTGCACTGTATGTTGGCTCAATCAAGCGCATCAACTTACATGTTATCGTCAACAAACAACTGTCCATTTCTCGTTTCTTGTATGTTTTGCTTTCTTTTCCATCCTTGATTCCCTGTCTCTTACCCTCTGCCATCTCCCACTCTCCTCCCACACTGTCTCTGGTATCTGTTTGCTTTCTAGACTTTTCCCCCCACATTTCATTGAGCCACTAAAGATCTTAATTAATCTAAATATTTTCATAGCAAGCACAGCTGATATATACATTTCCTTGAACACAAGTCCACCTTTAGGCATGAGACTCAGTGAGTAGAATGAACGTAAAGAATTCACCCAGCGTGATCTGGACCTCAGACCAGTGCAGCTGGGAACACTGTACACGCCCTCACCCACGGGCAGTAAACTGCTTCTGTGTCCCACAAAGCATTGGAAATTGGGACCTCTTTCTGCTTCCCAATGGATTGGACCTCTCTCGTGACCTTTCTGAGGGAAAGCTAAACATGCCGTGTGTGTATTTCTAAAAGAAGTGTTCAAAACCTCTTCACTTCTCTCTTTATTCTCTGTTTCTCAGGGAGTTCCTGGATTTGACAACAGTGTAGAAGGACCCAGGGGCTCGAAAGGAGGGCACGGAAGGCAGGTAATCACGTGGGCACTGGAGCATGAACTTGTCAGATGACAACGCAGAGCTGTGAGGCTCGCGTTCGTGAGAGCATGTGAAGCCCTGATAAAGAGTTTGCAGTCCGAGTGGACGTACTCGGTGCAGAAAACTCATTAGCAAAAAGACCTCTTCTTTTCTTATCCACCACTTTGGGACTCAGGGTAATTTTTATTTTCCTTTCTATTTGGGCTGGCCCTCTCCGGGCTAGATGGCTTGTGGCGAGCTTCGGAGACCCACCGTGGGGGCATGTTGGGGACGGTTTATTTGACTGCTCTGTGACGTGTACCTCCAACACGTGAGACAGCACTGCCAAGCAGACGAAGCCTGTCGCTGCATTGTGTCCTTCGCCCTCATTCCCCGTGGCGGTGCGATTCAGGACTGTGGAAGTCAACACCACCTTCCAAGAGGAGGCGGCTCTCACTGACGCGCATCCATCCCTCCTCTAGGAGCAGCCGTGTCAGTGCCGTGTTGTCACATGTCTGTCTGCTTCCCTGACAGGGTAGAAGAGGCTGGCCAGGGCCCCCTGGATCACCGGGCTCCAGAAGAAAGACGGTAAGAGCCCTCCCACCCGAGGAGACCCACTGCTCCAGAGTCTTGTACAGTGGCGAGAATGTGACCATGTGACCGTGGGGTGGGCAGGACAGTCCTGCTGGGGCTCATTACCTCGGGAAAGCAAGCTGGGGCCATCTCTCAGAGCAGGGTGGCAGCAGGTTGGGGGAGCCACTGAAATGGAAAGGAAGGAGCTGGGGTGAGGACAGGGGCTGTGCGC